GATCCTTCTCCACCATTGATTCCCCCCAGATCCTTCTCCACCATTGATTCCCCCAGATCCTTCTCCACCATTGATTCCCCAGATCCTTCTTCTCCACCATTGATTCCCCCAGATCCTTCTCCACCATTGATTCCCCCAGATCCTTCTCCACCATTGATTCCCCCAGATCCTCTCCACCATTGATTCCCCCAGATCCTTCTCCACCATTGATTCCCCAGATCCTTCTCCCATTGATTCCCCAGATCCTTCTCCACCATTGATTCCCCAGATCCTTCTCCACCATTGATTCCCCCAGATCCTTCTCCACCATTGATTCCCCCAGATCCTTCTCCCCATTGATTCCCCCAGATCCTTCTCCACCATTGATTCCCCCAGATCCTTCTCCAGATTCCTTCTCCACCATTGATTCCCCAGATCCTTCTCCACCATTGATTCCCCAGATCCTTCTCCAACACTGACCCCCCCCCCCCCAGATCTTCTCCACCATTGATTCCCCCAGATCCTTCTCCACCATTGATTCCCCAAGATCCTTTCCAACATTGATTCCCCCAGATCCTTCTCCACCATTGATTCCCCCAGATCCTTCTCCACCATTGATTCCCCCAGATCCTTCTCCACCATTGATTCCCCAGATCCTTCTCCACCACGTTGATTCCCCCAGATCCTCCTCCAACGTTGATTCCCCATCCTCCTCCACCACGTTGATTCCCCCAGATCCTTCTCCACCATTGATTCCCCAGATTCTTCTCCACCATTGATTCCCCAGATCCTTCTCCACCACTGACCCCCCCAGATTCTTCTCCACCATTGATTCCCCAGATCCTTCTCCACCATTGATTCCCCCAGATCCTCTCCACCGTTGATTCCCCCAGATCCCTCTCCACCATTGATTCCCCCCAGATCCCTCTCCACCATTGATTCCCCAGATCCCTTCTCCAACACTGACCCCCCCCCAAATTCTTCTCCACCATTGATTCCTCCAGATTCTTCTCCACCATTGATTCCCCCAGATCCTTCTCCAACACTGACCCCCCCCCCCCCCAGATTCTTCTCCACCATTGATTCCCCCAGATCCTTCTCCACCATTGATTCCCAAGATCCTTTTCCAACACTGATTCCCCCAGATCCTTCTCCACCATTGATTCCCCCAGATCCTTCTCCAATGTTGATTCCCCCAGATCCTTCTCCACCATTGATTCCCCAGATCCTTCTCCCTCCAACGTTGATTCCCCCAGATCCTTCTCCACCATTGATTCCCCAGATTCTTCTCCACCATTGATTCCCCAGATCCTTCTCCACCATTGACCCCCCCAGATCTTCTCCACCATTGATTCCCCAGATTCTTCTCCACCATTGATTCCCCAAGATCCTTCTCCAACACTGATTACGCCAGATCCTTCTCCACCATTGATTCCCCCAGATCCTTCTCCACCATTGATTCCCCCCAGATCCTTCTCCACCATTGATTCCCCCAGATCCCTCTCCACCATTGATTCCCCCAGATCCTTCTCCACCACTGACCCCCCCAAATTCTTCTCCACCATTGATTCCTCCAGATTCTTCTCCACCATTGATTCCCCCAGATCCTTCTCCAACACTGACCCCCCCCCCCCCCCAGATTCTTCTCCACCATTGATTCCCCCAGATTCTTCTCCACCATTGATTCCCCAAGATCCTTCTCCAACACTGATTCCCCCAGATCCTTCTCCACCATTGATTCCCCCACATCCTTCTCCACCATTGATTCCCCCAGATCCTTCTCCAACGTTGATTCCCCCAGATCCTTCTCCAACGTTGATTCCCCCAGATCCTTCTCCAACACTGATTCCCCTAGATCCTTCTCCACCATTGATTCCCCAAGATCCTTCTCCAACACGGATTCCCCCGGATCCTTCTCCACCATTGATTCCCCTGGATCCTTCTCCAACACGGATTCCCCCGGATCCTTCTCCACCATTGATTCCCCCGGATCCTTCTCCACCATTGATTCCCCAAGATCCTTCTCCACCATTGATTCCCCAAGATCCTTCTCCACCATTGATTCCCCCAGATCCTTCTCCACCACTGATTCCCCCAGATCCTTCTCCACCATTGATTCCCCAAGATCCTTCTCCAACACTGATTCTTCCAGGTCCGTCTCCGCCATTGATTCCCCCAGATCTTTCTCTGCCATTGATTCCCTCAGATCCTTCTCCACCACTGATTCCCCCAGATCTTTCTCCACCATTGATTCCCCAGATCCTTCTCCAACACTGATTCCCCCGGATCCTTCTCCACCAATGATTCCCCAGATCTTTCTCCACCATTGATTCCCCCAGATCCTTCTCCACCATTGATTCCCTAAGATCCTTCTCCAACACTGATACTGATTCCCCCAGATCCTTCTCCACCATTTAGTCCCCAGGTTGTACCCCCCCCTTAGTATGTATGACTTGATGGGGGGAAATGAAGGTAGGGAGGAAAACAATACAAAATAAGGCACAGTTACATTTTAAAGAGGCCCCGTAGCTTTGCCCTAAGGGTAACAGGGTCACTTTAAAACAGAAAACTGTCATTGGCATGGTTCTGGTTCCTTGGCTTCCTAGTCAAAATACTCACCCATGGCTAATAGTAACATGGAGCCACATAAGTTCTCCTAAAGATATGCACATAATTAGTTATAATAGGCTAATGGCACGGGCACGGTTTTTGAATAATGAGCTAATATGACAGGGGACACAAATGCAAGTGAACAGGCCCCCTTCCCTTAGCAGAAACTACGTTCAGGGGCCGGTGGTAGAGCCTGTTCCCAGGGTATCCTGTCCGTTTCCACCAGACTGGAGTAATTCCAAATTATGCAAATGGTCTTTATGTGAAGGAAAGGCGCATGGGTCGGTGTATAACGTTCATGCATCAGGAAAGGGCAGCTTCTCCTGCAAGAAATATCACCGACAGCCCCGTCACCAGAAACATTTCTCGAGCAGAACAAAGGGCCCCGGTCCCCGCAGCACAATATATTAACATATTTCCACATAATTAGTTTGTTTTCCAGTTGAAATCAGAAAAAGACTCGACGTTGCGTTCCCCGCCTCGGGACGCGCGGCGTACGGTAGGATCTTTGTGCGCGTCGCTTCATATGTTGCATAATTAGCAGGAATTAATCTGTTGAAATTACAGTTTTAGAATATTATGGATCTCATGAATAGTGTATGGGACAATCAAGGAAATTAAACCGGTGACAGAAACGTAGGCAACGTCGTCGTTCGGAAGACTTCTGGCAGTCTACGTTTTTAATCAGGGAAACCAGGAAGCTGGAGGGCTGAATGCGAATTGGTGGTCCAATCCGTTCGGAGCTAGGGGGAGCGTGGGGGGGCTTCTATAAAATATGCTTGATTAATATCCAAGTCAACCACAATACAGGAGGAGCATGGGATGAGGAATAAACATTGTGGATCACAAACGCCGCCGATTATTGGAACTGAAATCCTCGGCTCAAACAGGCCGGAATGGTAACTGACAAGTATAATGTGTCTGTGAGCAATGCCCAGTATATGAGTACTAAAAAGAGGGTTTTAGCCTCTGCAAATTTTACCAATTAGAACACACATACAAAAAAAAAAAGGAAAGAAAACCCAGGAAAATCAAAATAAAATAAAACAATATATATAAGTATATTTTTTTTAAACTATGATACATGTAATTATATTTATTTTATTTATCAATAATAAAAAAAAACAAAATGAGTTAATAATGAAAATAAAATGTACTTCTTAAAAGTCAAGTTACTTAAGTTGGTATAATGAAAAAATGTTTTTATAAATGATTTAAATTGAAATATGCAGTTAAAATTTGTTTATTATTAGCAGTTTCAGGGTTAATATAAAGAAAATGAATATTTTTATTATTATTATTACTAATAATAATACTACTATTAATAATAATAGGTAGCTACAGTACATAGTTACATAGTTAGTCTGGCTCAGGAGCGGACTGACAACTCATGGGGCCCCCGGGCAATAGGGGATCATGGGGCCCCTGTGTCCTTGCCCAAACTCAAAAAAGCCTATGAAAAAGGTACCAGGGGCATCTTATGGGGCCCCCTACTGATCCCGGGCCCTCGGGCAGTGCCGGAGTTTCCAAATGGTCAGTCCGCCCTTGGTCTGGCTGAAAAACGACAAAAGTCCATCCAGTTGTGGTGGTAAGATGGGGCCTCCCATAAAGCAGCAAATGAGAGTGCAGAGGGCAAGGCCAGGCTTTTGCCAGAAGATTCAGACAATTGGCCTTGTTGGCGCCCATGCCTGCATATGCCCTCAGTGCACATGAATTGAGAATATGTGAGTATAAGACTTAGTTACATAGTTAGTCTGGCTGAAAAAAGACAAAAGTTCATCCAGTTCAACCATTAAAGGAAAAAAAAAAAAAAAAAAGTTATAATCCTATACCCACAGTTGATCCAGAGGAAGGCAAAAAAAACCAGCAAAGCATGATCCAATTTGCTCCTGCAGGGAAAAAAAATTCCTTCCTGATCCCCTGTGAGGCAATCGAATATTCCCTGGATCAACTTTACAACAACAGTATTTAAACTTTACTACAGGCTTGCATATAAAAATAAAAAATAAAATTAGATTTTTATTATGGTTAATAAATAAAAAAAATATATAAAAATAAAAATTATAAAAAAAATAAGTAAAATTATGTACCAGTATTTAATAACTCTAAATTATATATTTAACAATTTGAATTTTCTGCGTTATATATGATTAAATATCACTGGATGTAGATAGACGCCTAATCTTACTACACCATGAGGATTCTTTTGCTTTTTGGATGATTTTGTCCTCTTTGATGATAATTCATTATTTTAGGTCTATATTTTTCTGAAGTATCAGTTTGGGAGCTCATGCCTTGATTTGGGAATCTAATGAGAGGGATCCTATTGGTGTCTATCTACATCCAGTGTATGGAGTTCATCATATCCCCCAAAGTCAGCAGTAACGGAGTTTGTCATCCTAATTTGGTATCAGGGGCGGACTGACCATTTGTAAACTCGGGCACTGCCCGAGGGCCCGGGGTCAGTAGGGGGCCCCATGAGATGCCCCTGGTACTTTTTCATAGGCTTTTATGAGTTTGGAACACAGGGGCCCCATGATCCCCTAATGCCCGGGGGGCCCCATGAGTTGTCAGTCCGCCCCTGTTTGGTATCCTCATGATGCTTTTCTTGACCGTCACTTAATTGTGGGGTCACATAAGTCTGGTAAGAGGCAGTATTTTTTGAGGTGCTGGTGTTGGTGGATCCCCAAGAAGTTTATTTATATTTTTTTGATGTATTTTTTTTTGGAAGCACAATTTTTTGAAATTATTTGAACTTTTATTTATCACTAAAGAATTCAAGTTTTTTTTATTGGACACTATAATGTTTTATGTATTTTTTTTTATGTTTAGTAGTACTTTTGAATGTGTAGAGCTGCACTTTATTGTTCTAAATTATATATTATATACTTTTACGCTATATTAATATATTATATAATATTATATAATATTAACCACCTCCCGTCCGGCCATTGTATATAAACGGCCAGACGGTGGCACTGCAGGGTTGGGTGGCCGTTTATAAACGGCCTCTCTGCACCCTGCTTGTGCACGCTCCCTGGAAGCGCGCAGCACCACGATCCGGTGCCCACTGTATCCTCCAGACACAGTGAAACACCGATCGTTGGACAGGACCTCTGTACGAGGTCCCGATCATGTGATCACTGATTGGCCAATCAGTGATCACATGCAAAGTAGTAAGCAAGATGTCACTTGTAACATCATTGCTTACTACGTGTGAAATCTGTGAATGATCACCAAGGTCACATGGTACAGGGCTATTCACAACAGCCTTGTACCATGTGACAAGCTGTGACCAATCACAGCTCACTCAGTAGTTCTCAATGGCTGCAAGAATGCAGCTAGAGAGAAAGAGAAATTTTTGCTTTTACATCCTATATGGGTGTAAAAGCAATCAGTGTAAAAAAAAAAATAAAAAAATCTTTATCACCCCCTACAAGTAGTAATGATGAAATATTATTTATTTACAAAATTTTATAAGAAAAACACTTTTTTTTCAAAATTTTTTGACTTTTTCATTTACATAGCAAAAAAAATTTAAATCCCAGCGGTGAATAAATACCAACAAAATAAAGATTTATCTGTCTCAAAAAAATTCATATGGGTACAGTGTTGCATGACCGCACAATTGTCATTCAAAGTGTGATAGCGCTGAAAGCTGAAAATTGGCCTGGACAGGAAGGGAGTAAAAGTGTCCGGACTGGAAGTGGTTAAATGGCCAAGTACGTGGACACCTAATCATTACACCTATCCATATGAATGACAGTATGTGGACATCTCTCCAAATGATTGAGTTCAGTTCTTTCCAGTGAAGGGTTCTATTAATGATCCAGCATACAAAGATATGCTATTTAGCAACAATTAGGTGAAGGTCCTTTTTTGTTCCAGCAAGACTCTATCCCTGTGTACAAAGCCAGTTTCTTAACCTCCTCGGCGGTATGATTCTTTCCGATTTTTTGTGCTGAAAGCGGTACCATTTTTTTGCATGGAAATATGTAGTTTTTTATTGTAGGCTGTAATTTTTAGGAATAACTCACTGAAATCTGTCTGAACAAGAGTCTAGTAAACATTCCGTATATGATAAAATTTGAAACACGAAATCATAATTAAAATTTAATAAATAATCATAAAAAAATAATAATATAATAATAATAAATTTAATTCAATAATATAATCAAACCAAAAAAACTGAAATTTGAAATACAGAGGCAAATTCGCACATCGCTGAGCAAAGTCACAAAATCGTTTTCAGTGTCTGATGAGGAATTTCCCCCACAAATTATTATCACTCAATTCTGCAAGTGGTTCTGATTTACTATCGCTGTTCTAAAACAGCTTTTGACCTAAAGGGACACTTTTTGAACGCCATGGACTTTTCTAAGTTTCCAGGCAGAAAGAACATTCAAAATGCAGGCAGGGCGCCGGACAAAGCAGTAGGGACAAAATATATGTGAAATGCATTGAAACAGCAATGACAGCAAAAATTACATTTTTAAAAAATTTCAAATTTCCCGCCGGTTCCGACGTCACAGGGACCGGAACACGGAAGCCGGATGCCGGCATCTGCCGGAGGAGATGGCCGGGGACACTGCAGGGGACACATCACGGGAGCGAAGGACAAGGTAAGTGCTGCAGGGATCCCAGAGCAAGGCCGCATGGTAAGCCCGAGTGTAGCTCGGGGTTACCGCTCTTGGTATAGAAATTTTACCCCGAGCTACACTCGGGAATACCGCTAAGGAGGTTAAGGACTTGGCTTGATGAGTTTGGTGTGGAGGAATTCAAGTGTCCTGCACAGAGCCCTGACCTCTACTCTACTGATCCACCATCAGTACCTCACCTCACAGATGCTCTTTTGGCTGAATTTTGGAGAAGATTTATGATGAAATATTATTTATTTGCAAAATTTTATAAGAAAAACACCTTTTTTTCAAAATTTTTGGACGTTTTCATTTACATAGCAAAAAAAATAAAATCCCAGCGGTGAATAAATACCAAATTAAAAAAGAAAAAAGCGCCACTTACAAAAAACACCAAAGTGTCAGCAGCATATCCCACCCAAAATAAATTTTGGCAACAATAATCCTAATTAAAAGGTATGCGCTAATAACAAACTTATACAAAAGTGTATATCATCATCCTGGTTGCTGGTTTATAATCTGGCCAGCCATTAGCTCTGGTGAGTTCATTTAATCTCCTTTGGTGGTGGATTTTTCACAATTGGTTCAAGTCACTGAAGATATATATATTATTTTTTTTGGACACTAATATATATTTTTTTGGACACTAATTTATGTTTGGACACTATAATTATTTATTCAAAACACTAAATTTTTTTTTTTTTTTTTTTTGGATGATGATAAACACTTTTGTATAAGTTTGTTATTAGCGCATACCTTTTAATTAGGTGAATAAATACCACCAAAATAAAGCTTTATCTGTCTCAAAAAAATGGTAAAAAATTCATATGGGTACAGTGTTGCATGACCGCGCAATTGTCATTCAAAGTGTGATAGCGCTGAGAGCTGAAAATTGCCCTGGACAGGAAGGGGGTGAAAGTGTCCGGACTGGAAGTGGTTTAATGGCCAAGTATGTGGACACCTAACCATTACACCTATCCATATGAATGACAGTATGTGGACATCTCTCCAAATGATTGAGTTCAGTTCTTTCCAGTGAAGGGTTCTATTAATGATCCAGCATACAAAGATACGCTATTTAGCAACAATTAGGTGAAGGCTCTTTTTTGTTCCAGCAAGACTCTATCCCTGAGTACAAAGCCAGCTTCTTAAGGACTTGGCTTGATGAGTTTGGTGTGGAGGAATTCAAGTGTCCTGCACAGAGCCCTGACCTCTACTCTACTGATCCATCATCAGTACCTCACCTCACAGATGCTCTTTTGGCTGAATTGTGGCCAAGATTTATGATGACATATTATTTATTTGCACAATTTTATAGGAAAAACACTTTTTTTTTAATTTTTTTGGACTTTTTCATTTACATAGCAAAAAAAAAATAAAAATCCCAGTGGTGAATAAATACCACCAAAATAAAGCTTTATCTGTCTCAAAAAAATGGTAAAAAAGTCATATGGGTACAGTGTTGCATGACCGCGCAATTGTCATTCAAAGTGTGATAGCGCTGAGAGCTGAAAATTGGCCTGGACAGGAAGGGGGTGAAAGAGTCTGGACAGGAAAGGGGTGAAGAGTCTGGACAGGAAAGGGGTGAAAGAGTCTGGACAGGAAGGGGGTGAAAGAGTCTGGACAGGAAGGGGGTGAAAGAGTCTGGAAAGGAAGGGGGTGAAAGAGTCTGGAAAGGAAGGGGGTGAAAGAGTCCGGACAGGAAGGGGGTGAAAGAGTCTGGACAGGAAAGGGGTGAAAGAGTCTGGACAGGAAAGGGGTGAAAGAGTCTGGACAGGAAAGGGGTGAAAGAGTCTGGACAGGAAGGGGGTGAAAGAGTCTGGACAGGAAGGGGGTGAAAGAGTCTGGAAAGGAAGGGGGTGAAAGAGTCTGGAAAGGAAGGGGGTGAAAGAGTCCGGACAGGAAGGGGGTGAAAGAGTCTGGACAGGAAAGGGGTGAAAGAGTCTGGACAGGAAAGGGGTGAAAGAGTCTGGACAGGAAAGGGGTGAAAGAGTCTGGACAGGAAGGGGGTGAAAGAGTCTGGAAAGGAAGGGGGTGAAAGAGTCTGGAAAGGAAGGGGGTGAAAGAGTCCGGACAGGAAGGGGGTGAAAGAGTCTGGACAGGAAAGGGGTGAAAGAGTCTGGACAGGAAGGGGGTGAAAGAGTCTGGACAGGAAAGGGGTGAAAGAGTCTGGAAAGGAAGGGGGTGAAAGAGTCTGGAAAGGAAGGGGGGTGAAAGAGTCTGGAAAGGAAGGGGGTGAAAGAGTCTGGAAAGGAAGGGGGTGAAAGAGTCCGGACAGGAAGGGGGTGAAAGAGTCTGGACAGGAAGGGGGTGAAAGAGTCTGGAAAGGAAGGGGGTGAAAGAGTCTGGAAAGGAAGGGGGTGAAAGAGTCTGGACAGGAAAGGGGTGAAAGAGTCTGGAAAGGAAGGGGGTGAAAGAGTCTGGAAAGGAAGGGGGTGAAAGAGTCCGGACAGGAAGGGGGTGAAAGAGTCCGGACAGGAAGGGGGTGAAAGAGTCTGGAAAGGAAGGGGGTGAAAGAGTCTGGAAAGGAAGGGGGTGAAAGAGTCTGGACAGGAAGGGGGTGAAAGAGTCTGGACAGGAAGGGGGTGAAAGAGTCTGGACAGGAAAGGGGTGAAAGAGTCTGGACAGGAAGGGGGTGAAAGAGTCTGGACAGGAAGGGGGTGAAAGAGTCTGGACAGGAAAGGGGTGAAAGAGTCTGGAAAGGAAGGGGGTGAAAGAGTCCGGACAGGAAGGGGGTGAAAGAGTCCAGACAGGAAGGGGGTGAAAAAGTCCGGACAGGAAGTGGTTAATATATATTAATACTTGATTTAATTACAATTTTTCTTAATGCATTACATTTTCTCTTTATTAACTACAGTATATTAGCCATAATATTTATTGTTAAAATAACTCACCTTGACATAAAATTTATTGCTCAATTATTATTAAAAAATCCCTCATTCTCTTTCTTCCTCTTAGAATTATTAATCTAAAAATATACTCCTAATCTCAAAAAATGTATTCCGCATTCGATTCTGATATTATACTATTTTTCTTTCAAACACATAAATTGTATCATCTTATACGCTTATATCTAACGTGCCGCTTATTTAAAGGCGATTTAAATATTATCATTTCCATAAAACAATTCCTTTCAAAGACTGGAAAAAAAAAAATATCATCAAGTTGCCAAAACATTTCAGTGCAAATTGCTGTCTCTTCTTCAGCTAATGTATGAATAATTTTATTCAGTAACCTTGTTAAAGCAGAGCTGGCTTCTGCATCCCTCATGAAAAATGGCCGTTAGAGTTGGCTAAAACTTGAGTTTTAAAAAGGAGTAAATGGATCGGGTCCAGTGCATTGGCATGGCACCAGTCTTTAAAATATAGAAGAAAAATGCAGATGGGGAAGTCACAGCCAGCTGGTATCAGAGGCGGCCAGGGAACGTGTCAAAATATTGGTGACTTTTTATATTTGTTCAGCAACAGCGAAAGGACCTGAGAAGCTCGTCTGCCGAATGCTTCAAGAGCTTTTTTTTTTTTTTTTTTTTAAATGGGATTTAGGATACAGTCTCACAGTCATTACAGAATTCTTTTTTTTTTTTTTTCATTTTTATCACAAAGACAGATTCCAGACTAATTAAGAAGCATTTATTTTATGAGTAGCGGTTTAAATCAAAGAGAGCCAGTGAGCATTTTATTTGGCTGCGATTTTAAGATAATTTGCAGAATAGTACCCGCCAGGGGCAGACTGACAACTCATGGGGCCCCCGGGCAATAGGGGATCATGGGGCCCCTGTGTCCTTGCCCAAACTCAAAAAAGCCTATGAAAAAGGTACCAGGGGCATCTCATGGGGCCCCCTACTGACCCCGGGCCCTCGGGCAGTGCCCGAGTTTCCAAATGGTCAGTCCGCCCCTGGTACCCGCCACCATTGTAAATGACGTGTCTGTGCCTGTCTCGTGGATTACAAAAAGCGAGGACATTTGTGAAAAATAAATCTTTGGATTCTGTTAGACAGTCATGAGTTAAAGCCCAAGTCCAGTCCAAATACAAAAAAAAAAAATAAATAAAATGGATCCCACAGCGGGAAAAAAAAAAAAAATCAGATCTGATTGCAATACTTACCTCCTTTGTGGTGTTGCACCCCGCATATTCAACTGTTTACAGATCCAGCTCTGCTCCTCCTCCAGGTTAAATGACTCACCTGATTACGTCAATCTGTGACGAAACGCATAGGGCGGGAGCTGTGTGGACATTAGCGGCAGGTAAAAATTTAAAAAAAATCAGAACTGGTTGCAATACTCACCTCCTTTGTGATGTTGCAACCCACATAGTCACATATTCAACATATGACTCCCCTGATGACGTCAATCTGGGACGAAACGCGTAGGGAAGGACCTGTGTCATATGACATCAGTGGCAGGAAAAAATTTTAAAAAATCAGATCTGGTTGCAATACTCACCTCCTTTGTGATGTTGCAACCCACATATTCAACTGTTTAGTGATCCAGCTCTGCTCCTCCTCCAGGTTAAATGACCCCCCCGATGACGTCAATCTGTGACGAAACGCGTTGGGCGGGACCTGTGTCGTATGACATCAGTGGCAGGTAAAAATTTTAAAAAAAAATCAGAACTGGTTGCAATACTCACCTCCTTTGTGGTGTTGCACCCCACATATTCAATTGTTTACAGATCGAGCTCTGCTGCTCCTCCAGGTTAAATGACTCCCCTGATTACATCAATCTGTGACAAAACGTGTAGGGTGGGACCAGGGGCGGACTGACCATTCGGGAACTCGGGCAATGCCCGAGGGCCCTGGGTTAGCAGGGGGCCCCATGAGATGCCCCTGGTACCTTTCATAGGCTTTTTTGGGTGTGGTTTGAGTGTGGGTGAGGACACAGGGGCCCCATGATCCCCTATTGCCCGGGGACCCCATGAGTTCTCAGTCTGCCCCTGGGTGGGACCTGTGTCGTATGACATTAGCGGCAGGTAAAAATTAAAAAAAAAATCAGATCTGGTTACAATACTCACCTCCTTTGAGGTGTTGCACCCCACATATTCAACTGTTTAGTGATCCAGCTCTGCTCCTCCTCCCAGGTTAAATGACTCCCAGTGTCATTCAACCCACTTTCTGCGAGCCCAGAGCGTCAGGGACCCGCCCCCTGCACTGGATTTACAGGAGAATATAGTGAATCACAATGTGGAAACACCATATGCTGAAGCAATGAAAAAAATACCGGCCCCTGATAACGTCAATCTCTGACGAAACGCATAGGGCGGGACCTGTGATGTATGACGTCAGCGTGCTGAACACCGCAGCCATTTTGATGTTTGTGTTATACTGGGATTTATGTGAGTGTAATACTTTTAATAAAATTTGCCATTTTAAACGTACTTCACTACATGAATTTTTTTCTATCTTGTATGAGGTATATTCATTTCATCTGATATCATCCCGAAATAATGCTTTTGGGCTAAATTATATGGAGTCCGAGGGGATCGATCGATAAAGAATGATCTTGATAAGAACCTAAAATGCTGGATGTGAATTAAATTATATAAATCCAAGATGCTTACTAGTACATCGAGTGCTTAAGGTGTTAATAAACCCCCAACAGTACAATCAGTCTGTAGATGCAGTAAAGCATGCTTGTTATACTCACTGTGGAACCTAAGGGGTTAATCCTCTGCATTGTGTAAAAAGGGCTGTTTGATCCTGTGTTCTCTGATCCTCCCCTTCTTCTACTGTCCCCAATCCATCTGCTGATGGGGGAAAGCTGCACATGCTCAGTTTGGCATGTATTGCTAGAGAGTTTTGCTTTGTTTCTTAGGAGGGTGCATGTGATCAACACAGGGCCAATCAGCACTGTACAGACAGAAGGTCAGGGGTTATACAGCCTCATAGGACAGTCAGAGGAGAATGAAAACTCCTCCTACAAGCTTTAACCAGTGCCCTGCTGGACACTGATAGAAGTCACAAGACTGCTCTATACTGCTGATGAGAAACGATATTTAGCAGTTTATGTTTACTAAAATGATTGCATTTCCATGTTGTGTGTACTGTGGGAGACCAGATATAGTGAATGCAGGGTCCGGGGAGACAAGAAATAGTGAATGCAGAGTCTGTGGAGACCGGATATAGTGAACAGGGGCGGATGGACCATTCGGGTACTCGGGCAATGCCCGAGGGCCCAGGGTCAGTAGGGGGTCCCATGAGATGCCCCTAGTACCTTTCATAGGCATTTTTTGGGTGTGGTTTTAAGTGTGGGTGAGGACATGGGGGCCCCATGATCCCCTATTGCCCAGGGCCCCATGAGTTGTCAGTACCCCTGATAGTGAATGCAGGGTTTGGGGAGAGCGGATATAGTGAATGCAGGGTGGGGGACACCAGGTGAATGCAGGGTCCTGGGTGAATGCGGGGTCCCATGATATAGTGAATGCAGGGGCCCGGGAAGAGCGGAGTTGTGAATGCCTCCCTGATAGTGAATGCAGGGTTCGGGGAGACCGGATATAGTGAATGCAGGGTCTGGGGAGACCAGATATAGTGAATGCAGGGTCAGGGGAGACCAGCAGGGATATAGTGAATGCAGGGTCCGGGGAGACCAGATATAGTGAATGCGGGGTCCGGGGAGACCAGATATAGTGAATGCAGGGTCAGGGGAGACCAGATATAGTGAATGCAGGGTCCGGGGAGACCAGATATAGTGAATGCAGGGTCCGGGAGAGAGCAGATATAGTGAATGCAGGGTGGGGAGAGCGGATATAGTGAATGCGGGGTCCGGAGAGACCGGATATAGTGAATGCAGGGTCTGGGGAGACCGGATATAGTGAATGCAGGGTCCGGGGAGACCAGATATAGTGAATGCGGGTCCAGGGGAGACCGGATATAGTGAATGCGGGGTCCGGGGAGACCGGATATATAGTGAATGCGGGGTCTGGGGACACCGGATATAGTAAATGTAGGGTCCAGGGGGACCAGATATAGTGAATGCAGGGTCCAGGGGGACCGGATATAGTGAATGCAGGGTTCAGGGATACCGGATATAGTGAATGCAGGGTCCGGGGGGAGGCAGATATAGTGAATGCAGGGTATGGGGAGAGCGGATATAGTGAATGCAGGGTCCGGGGAGACCGGATATAGTGAATGCGGGGTCCGGGGAGAGCGGATATAGTGAATGCAGGGTCCGGGGAGAGCGGATATAGTGAATGCAGGGTCCGGGGAAAGCGGATATAGTGAATGCAGGGTCCGGGGGGAGCGATATAGTGAATGCAGGGTCTGGGGGGGAGAGCAGATATAGTGAATGCAGGGTCCAGGGGGAGAGCGGATATAGTGAATGCAGGGTCCGGGGGGAGCGAATATAGTGAATGCAGGGTCCGGGGAGACCAGATATAGTGAATGCAGGGTCCGGGGAGAGCGGATATAGTGAATGCAGGGTCCGGGGAGAGCGGATATAGGGAATGCAGGGTACGGGGTTTAGTGACACTTTAACACAGCTCTACAATTTGAGGGTCTTACGATCCAGTAAGCTGCTTGCCTCTACCACTGTGGTGTTGTGGTCGAATATTTCGGCACTCAAGCTGGTCTTGGGACTGTTTCTTTCCCCCTGGATGAAATTATCTACATATTATGTGGACTGTTTTTATTATTACTTAGTTTGCTAAGCGCCGCATGTGCATAATGTGTATGATTCATTTGTGATCAATCGAATGTATCCTGGCAGCTTTTCATTCAGGCATCCAAGCGCAGTTAATGCTTTTTATTATATTAATACCGCCCGAATGCCCCCAAACCTGTATCAGCCAGACCAGCATGTGAATAGACTGGTGCAAGACAGACAGGATAGGCTTACCAGGCTCTAATAGACTTCAACAAAATGGCAGCTGTCTGCATATGGACCCCGAAAATAAATAAAATGAGTAAAAGATGGCTTCAGTTCCTTTTCTCCACCTGTAGAGGAATCCTCAGATGCGTTTCGCCCCTTTTTGGTGTAGCCTCTATGATTAAGCCCCGAAAAGGGCGAAATGTATCTGAGAAGTTCCCTACAGGTGGAGAACAGGAGCAGAAGCCATTTTTTACTTGATTTTATTTATATTCATGCAACAGGAAGTTGGTGTCTGTGTGCAGACGGCTGCCATTTTGTTAAAGACCACCATATGCTGCATTTTGGATCCACCAACCTTGAAAAAAAGGAGGGTGATGAGGACCTTTCACCAGACCAAAGATACCTGAAAAAAGGGGAAGCATACAGATTGGGTTGGGGCTTGGAACGATAAAATGGAGGGTGATTTTGAGTCTTGTGTTAGACTTTATATTTTTTTAAATTTAGCTAACCCTCCCCCCCCCCCCCCACTCACCCACACCATGGCAAAAGCATTAGTAAAGGTGTTCTTTGAACCCTTTAACTACTTGCTCCAATGGTTCATGTAGCTTTTGTATGTTCCCGGTGTCATTGCCCTCCAAAGGCCGATGGCCGATTAGTGCTGTCCTCCTTGGGGTGCCGCTGGCAGATGTGTGCAGGCAGCCCATAGAAGTGGATGCGCATGCAGTGGCTCTGCAGAGGACGGCGCTAATTGACCATCTTAATGAATCCTAAAATTTAACAAATAAGAAAAGGCCAATGGGTATTTCCAAATAAAAGACACTATGACGTAATTATTCCAACAATGACCCAGTCCCTAACCCTGTCTGCAATCCTTAAAGTGGTTGTAAACCCTTACATATTCCCAGAGGTGTAACTAGAACCTTCAGGGCCCCGGTGTAAGAAACCATGAAAGCCCCCCCCCCGAGACTCCCAGGGCCCTTTCCTCTGGTTCTGGGGCCCTTTCCTCTGAGCCCAGTGTCCTTGCCCAAGGCCCTTCCCAATAATCCCAAAGCCATTTACTTCCATCTTGAGGCCCTTTATTATGGTCCTGCAGCAGGACCCTTTCACCAGTTCTGCAGCGGGCCCCCTTCTTGCCATCTTGGGCCCCTCCCATGGTTGCGGAGAATCAGGACCCGGTCGCAAGTATGACCTTTGCAACCCTGATAGCTACACCACTGCTGAAAGTGCTTTTCCCCAGCAACACAGTGAAAAACCTAATGTGACAGGGAGGCCGCATGGGCCCCCTGGAGCATGGACAGGGCCAAGATAGGTAGAAAGTTATACAGACGGATGGATGGATAGATAGATAGATAGATAGATAGATAATAGATAGATAGATAGATAGATAGATAGATAGATAGATAGATAGATAATAGATAGATAGATAGATAGATAGATAGATAGATAGATAGATAATAGATAGATAGATAGATAGATAGATAGATAGATAGATAGATAGATAGATAGATAATAGATAGATAGATAGATAGATAGATAAATTAGATAGATAGATAGATAGATAAATAGATAAATAGATAGATAGATAGATAGATAGATAGATAGATAGATAGATAGATAGATAGATATGAATAGATAGATAGATAGATAGATAGATAGATAGATAGATAGATAGATAGATAGATAGATAGAGAGATAGATTAGATAGATAGATAGATAGATAGATAGATAGATAGATAGATAGATAGATAGATAGATAGATAGATAGATAGATAGATAGATAGATAGATAGATTAGATAGATTAGATAGATAGATAGATAGATATGAATAGATAGATAGATAGATAGATAGATAGATAGATAGATAGATAGATAGATAGATAGATAGATAGATAGATAGATAGATAAATTAATTAGATAGATAGATAGATAGATAGATAGATAGATAGATATGAATAGATAGATAGATAGATAGATAAATTAGATAGATAGATAGATAGATAGATAGATAGATAGATAGATAGATAGATATGAATAGATAGATAGATAGATAGATAGATAGATAGATAGATAGATAGAGAGATAGATTAGATAGATTAGATAGATAGATAGATAGATAGATAGATAGATAGATAGATAGATTAGATTAGATTAGATAGATAGATAGATAGATAGATAGATAGATATGATAATAGATAGATAGATAATAGATAGATAGATAGATAGATAGATAGATAGATAGATAGATAGATATGAATAGATAGATAGATATAGATAGATAGATAGATAGATAGATAGATAGATAGATATGAATAGATAGATAGATAGATAGATAGATAGATAGATAGATAATAGATAGATAGATAGATAGATAGATAGATAATAGATAGATAGATAGATAGATAGATAGATAGATAGATAATAGATAGATAGATAGATAGATAGATAGATAGATAGATAGATTAATTAGATAGATAGATAGATAGATAGATAGATAGATAGATAGATAGATAGATAGATAGATAGATAATAGATAGATAGATAGATAGATAGATAGATAGATAGATAGATAGATAGATAGATAGATAGATAGATAGATAAATAGATCCATCTCAGTGGGGCCCCTCTCTCAGCGTGGTTCCTGGCCTCTCTCTCTCACCGAGGCCCCTCTCAGTGTGACACCTGGCCCCTCTCTCTGTTTCTATCTCAATAGGGCCCCTCCTGTGCTCTCTCTCTCATCTCTTTGGTGCTCAGGTTACCCTGTACATATTTGGCTGCACAGATCTGCAGGCACCCGAGGAGAAGCAGCAGCAGCCTGGGGTCTGCAGGAGGCCCCATCACTTGGATCTGCTGAGGATGAGAACAGAATGATGGGAGGGATGAGACACCACAGCACCGGGCCATTTCTACAGTGGGGGGGAAATTGGGCAATCAGCAGAGGAGAGGCTCCCAGACACCGGGCACAGGGACACGGACATCTGCATCCCCGGAATTCATCACCGGGGAGAACTGAGCACAGTGCGGGCACAGGACACAGCATACAGGACAGTAGGGAGGGATCAGGAGAGGAGGGGCTCTGGGGGTCCCTGTATATGGGAGGGAGGGGGACCGTGACAGCAAGGCCACACAAATTCAACGTGCTGAATGTATACAGCTTGTCTGAACTTTCAGAAAGCAGGGGGTGGAGAGCTGAAGTTACACTCCGCAGAGCTCAATGAGAGCCAATTGGAGGATGGGACCCCCCCCACCCCGTTGCACAGCACACAGGAACAGGGCTGAGTGCTGTCATTCACTGGCTGTGTGCTGGCTCTCCTTTCATCTCTTGATGTCAAGTAATACTAGTTTTATTTTTTATATTCTAGCTAAAAGTCCCAGAAAATGGTGGCCATGTGACCATTTCTAGTCTGTAGCGTGGAAGGGTCCTTCTTGAAATGCACATGTCATGGGATCATGGCAATGTAAGGAGCAGATACAGTGGGTTGGCCTTGAGCGCAGCTATAGTTCCAGTCCCGGAAGAGTCAGGTTGTCGCATGACAGAGCTCAGACTGGGAGAAGAAAGAGAAGCACAAGAAGCCAAATGGTTATGCTGATGTGCAATGAGCATACTGATAGGAGGAGACAGTAGAGCGAAAGGGATTTGAGCTCATCAGTGTCCTGTTTTTCCTTTCATGCCCAGTTACAGGAGGGGAGAAGGGCTAAAGTGGTAAGTACTACTGGACCAGGGGCGGACTAACAACTCATGGGGCCCCCAGGCAATAGGGGATCATGGGGCCCCTGTGTCCTTGCCCAAACTCAAAAAAGCCTATGAAAAAGGTACCAGGGGCATCTCATGGGGCCCCCTACTGAACCCGGGCCCTCGAGCAGTGCCCCGAGTTTCCAAATGGTCAGTCCGCCCCTGTACTGGACTGCAGTAGAGAAAAATCAAGCGTGCCTATCAGGGGCGGACTGACAACTCATGGGGCCCCCGGGCAATAGGGGATCATGGGGCCCCTGTGTCCTTGCCCACACTCAAAGCACACCCATAAAAGCCTATAAAAAAGGTACCAGGGGCATTTCAAGGGGCCCCCTACTGACGCCGGGCCTTTGGGCAGTGCCCCAGGCTCTAATGGTCAGTCAGCCCCTGGTGCCTATGGTCATGGGTGTATTTACCACAAGGCAAACAAGGCATTTGCCTAGGGTGGCATTTTTCAGGGGGGGCAGCAGCATTTTTCAGGGGGGCAGCAGCATTTTTCTCAGGGGTAGCGCTGCTCCCCAAAAGAAGGGATGGAAGAAAGGACACACGCAACATGGGGGACCAGGTGGGATCTGAGAGGAGCTGCTTGATGGTGTGTGAAGAGCCTGACTCTTGTTCCCGGGTATGCCCGGAGCTGTGAAGGTGACTGTCTTCTCTCTTGCTGGGGTGTGGGGGGTTGTCAGTGTATGGG